CCCCCCCCCCAAAAAAAAAAAAAAAAGGGGCCCTAATTCCAATTTTTATACTCTATCAATATTCAAATCCATATGTTTTGTTGCAAGGTGATGGTGCCTCTGAAAAATGCATGGTTTCAGCTGCTCTAAGAAGTGAAAGATTTGAGCCCTCCATTAAGCCAGTGTTGATTGCATGGAGATTACCTGCTGGGTGGTTATTTTCTTCAACTGTGAACTAATGATTTGTTTTCAGGTTGATTATTTAGCTCATATCTCAATGGCTGTTTTTCTTAGGCATCTTGGCTCACAGCTTTGTGAACTGGAAAAGCTGATAGATAAAATGATGATTGCAGAGTTTTCAACGTATGCTCGCAATGATTTAAATAGACCCCTAGAAGATGATTGCCAAATTCTAGAAGAGGTATGTCTGTTATTGAAATAAACTGATGAATATGTTTGCATCTTTAACATACTTAATTAGCACCAACTAATTCATCAGGTCCCTAGTAGCAACATTATAATTTTATACTATTTCTCTTCTCCATCCAAACCTCCCCCTGCCCCCCTTTTTTTTTGTGCTTGATAAAATTAGATAATTATAACTTAACTCATGGAAGTGCAATCCGGTCCTAGTTTATTTTTTTTTCTAAATAATCAGTTCTCTTTTCTCTGGTTAAATGTATACTGAGTTCACTTCATGAACCTCAACGTGTAAGTGGAAAAGAACATGGACTCCCATATCTACCTGACTGTAAAATTTCAGTTTTGCAATTAAAGCTGATAATTGCATGTTCTTCTCATTCTGTCTCCCTTTGCATTTATGGGTGTTTATATCAAGTATATAGCTTCCCTGAATACATGCTTCATTTGCAGTATATATATAGTCCTCATCCCTATGAAGATCATAAATATCTGAAGATTAAGCTATTGTGATTGCTTTCTAGCCAGGAAAAGATTTTTCTGAATTTTGCCTGTACTGTTCTTCAGTAACTGGTAGACCCTATTAACTGTTTGGTCTTGTTTCATCTGTGGGTTTAATGAAATCTAGTGAATGACAGTAGCACTTAAATATTCCCATTTCTGCCCTATAGTTTTTTCTCACCTCTGTGCTGCAATGTGTGGTAGCCTCTCACTTGTGCTGGTGCAGCTGTATTTAGTGTCATTCTTGCTTGGGGTAAGGAAACTCACTGATTTTTGGAAATAATCTTTAAGCACAAGTTGGATGAGCACAACTGAGGAACAGGCATGAAGGGGCCTGGGAGGAAGGGACTCAGCTGGTATTGATTGCCACAGGGAACTTTGTATAGTTCAAGTATGACATTTGCCTCAAGGTGCTAGACTGATCTAAAAACTATTCACCATGTGCTTGATATCTGAACTTTCTTACTGCTGTGCAATTTCTTAAAATTGTTTCTTGTCCTCACCTTGATATTTTTAGTGTGCTTTTTTATTTTCTTTTTTTTCTTGATAGGAAAGACTTGTATCACTTGTATTTGGACTCTTAAAACAAAGAAAGCTAAATTTTTATGAAATATATGGAGATGAAATGATTATTACTGCAAAGAACATAATTAAACAGGTAAGCCACACACTTCTAATGTTTCTGACAAGCTTGCCTCAACCCCTTACAAATTATTTTTTAAGTAATTAAGAACAGCTTAAGATGTTAAAACAGATGAAGGTTTTTTGGTGGCTGATGGTCTCTCATTTAGAGCAGCTGAGCTTGCAGACACTAAGGACTTCCTGAAGCACAGAGGTCTGTTTGCAGAAAAGGCCTTCTGGAAGGAGCAGGTAGCATAAGTACAGCAGATCACAGCTTCCTCTGTATATAATTTCCATTGTTTTGAATCCCCTGATTTTAGCTTAGTTTTTTTTCTTAACACATGGCTTTCCTGAATCGTATAGTTGTGTTACAACATTATGTTTCAAAAAAAAAAAAAAACAAAAAAAAACCCAAAACCACACCAAAAAGCACCGCCCTGCAACCTTGTGAAAAACAAAACCTGCAAGTTCTTGGTGTAAATACATAAAAGAGAATTAAAAAAAATTGCTAGTTGAAACAATGGAATTTCCAACAAATGCTACAGAAAACTGCTTGCCTGAATGTTAGCATAGACCTGGCACAGGCATGTGATAAAAGGTTGGAAAACATCCTTGCATTTTTCTGAGAACAGGGTGAAGTAATGAGGAAGGTAGAAGTGCTTGCCTATTAAAAAAAAAAAAAAAAAAAAAAAAAAAAAAAAAAAAAAAAAGAGTTCTTGTTCACATTGGTGTGGTGGTTTGTGTTCTACGGTAGTGTATCTTCAAACAACAAATCTTTGTAGATAAAACCAGCTAAAACCAACAAATGAACAAAGTTCAGATGATGATTTTTGGGGAAAATGCATGGACTTGTTTGGACATGATGGCTTTTGTTTGCAAACAGAAACTTAGACTGAACTCTGAGTGTGTGTTTGGTGCTTTTAATTTTACTCATCTTGTTTGTGTGCATGCATATGTGAGAATATTGTATAAGGGGTGTTTTTCTCCCCTGAAGATAGATGATTATTTCAAGGGTTGCATTCTGACATGTTATAAGCCACCTCTGATTTGTAACTCAAAGGTTGGGAGATGATCAGGTGGCGGGTTTTCCATCAGATGAAGACAGTCTTTCCTGCCCTCACAGCATAGTCCACTGTTCACGGATGTGTTGTGAACCACATTGGGAACAGAGCTTTTAAAAGTTTGGGGTTTCCTTTTTAATTATTCCTTTTGTTTTAAGCCAGATTGTCTCTCCCAATCCATTTCCCATTGCAGCGCCACGGTTCTGTCGATCTGGTTGTGCAGGGTGGGTATAGATAACACAGGCCAATGTTGCTAGTAAATACTGTGTTAGAATTAGAAGACAGACAGTGATGTGACTGCAGCACCTCTTCTTAGAAGGACTTAGCAATGATGCAAGTCATTTCTCACTTGACCCCAGTCCAGTTTAAATTGGGTTAAGCACTCCTGCCCTAGCTGCTTGTTCTTTCCCCACCTGAAAGCAGTGGGATGCTGGGCTGGGTCATTGCCCTGCTCCCTGAAAGATCAGTAGAAGGTGTGAGTGGACACTCCTTTCTAGTCATGCTGTATTACTGTAAGCCTGGAAAAACAAAGGCAAACAGATGTGTGCAGTTGCTCTGGGCCTTTGTATAAGGCTTAACACCAAAAAAAAAAAAAAAAAAAAAAAAAATGAGTGACATCAGGGTAAAACTGTTCATCTGCCTGTGAGTCACCATTGACTTTTTATTTGCCTGTGTCAGCAGTCATAAGGAGACTTTTTTCCCCCTTCAGATTCTTTGTTTAGTTGCATAATAGGCAGGTAGCGCTCCATGTTTTCCTGCTCATTCCCAGTCATAAAGTGCTTTTCCCATTCTACTGGGAATATTTGTCTTCATGTTGGATATTTCAAGTGTCACCTCTGCTCAGTAATAGATGAAGTTTAATCAACTTCCAGTGTAAGTTTCTATTGAATAGGGAAAATAGACAAGATCAGAGTATTTCTGTGTGGTTTGTGCAACACGTTTGCATTGTGGTCTGTTGTCTCAACTCTTAGGGATATTTTTCCTTAATAAAGGAAACTGTTTCCTTTCCATATCTCAAATGTGCTTCCTGTTCAAATGCGTTGCTGGACTCTTTTGGTCAGTACTTTAGTAGCTCTTTATTGCCAGGCAGGTGAAAGAGCTGAGGCTTGTGAACACTGAACACACTGTTCAAGAGCAAGGTGTTTTTAAGAAGCTTCTGTACTGACCACCATCATTCAAAACATGGGTAAAGTCATGTAGCTTGAGATAGCAGCCCTCAGTCACCATTTTGAATTGAAAATATTCACTTAAAGGCAAGATGAATTCATAACTACTGACTCCTTTGATCAGGTTATTGTTTGGCATTTGGGAGAAACTCCCTTATTCGTCCTGAATGGGGTTGATTTGTACCTAGGGCTTACAAGTAGTGTGAAAAGAGATTAGTGAAACTGCTGTAAAATAATAGCTGTGTTTGGAATGAAAATCGATGGTTCTGGAGACCTGAAGAAACTGGCCAGTTTTCTGTGTACCTGTTGAAGAGCAAGTGTCCTTTGAGGGAAGGCCCCAGCATAGCAATGAACATGTCAGAAATCTAGGCAGGCTGTAGAGGTGAAGAGGACAGACAGACAGTCAATACCATGTCTGCTAGGAGAGCAGTTGAAACTGTGTCCGCCTAACAGTTGAAAGCAAGGACTATAGGTGTGCACTTCCACACTTCCCTGGTGATGTTTCTTCCAGTGAAGGTTAGTTCCCAAGTCCTGTATTTAAAGCTGAAAAGGAAGTCAACCAATGTTTCCCAAAGTCATTCACTTTGGAAAGGGGAAGAATATGGCTTCTCTTCTTAAGTATCTGACCTGAGACACATTTTTGAAATGGTGCTTAGCATCCATGCTTGGAAAAACAGGTCCCTTTGAGATGGAGACAGTGTGCCCTCCAGAGCTTAGTACATAGTTGGGAACATTCTGATCATCTGTATTTTGCAAATAGATGTTTGGGGGGTGGTTTTGTGGGTTTCTTTTGGTCTTTTTGTTTGTTTTTAGAGAAACAAGTTGTTAAATGATACAAATAATGTCTTTATTATTTTACTTTTCCTTATTTAACTTGAGGATTATTGTGTATGTTTTGAAACTTGGCAGCAGTTAGAAAGAAGCTAAGATCTTTTTTGTTTTGTTTTTTTCCTCTTTAAATTTGACAGTGTGTGGTTAATACGGTATCGCAGATAGAAGAAATAGATACAGAAGTGGTTGTTAAGTAAGTATACAGCCAGATCTTTTTTTTTGGTGGTGGGTGGGGATAGGAAATGGATTTTTTTTAGCATAGATAAATTTACCATTATAATTTGTGCTTAAATTTCCTTATAACTAAGGATTACCCCTCTCTTTCACCTTAAGCCCCTGGTTCTGTCTGTCTATGTAAGAATACTGTGTATTCCCCTTCTCATTCAGGTTCTAATGTTACCTTAAGCTTACCTTTCAAATAAATACTAAAATTCTGTGAATCTCGCTGCATGAAGCATAAACTACTGTATTCAAGTGTATATCTCTTTACTTGAAAACATTCCCTATTGTCATAATCTGGGATTTGGCATTAAAACTTATCGGTAGTTTCAGTACTTCCTGCATGATCAAGAATAGGAGGTATCCAGAGAGGAGACCAGACAAGTTCGGACCCAAGAAATGGTCCAGCAGGAGCCTCACAAAGCCCAACAAAGGCAAATGCAACGTTCTGTGTCTGGGAAGGAGCAGCCCCTTGCAAAGAGGAGAGGGAGGAGCTGTCTGGCTTCAGAGCAGCTTTGCGTGGCAGGACCTGGGGGTCCCTGGTGGAGAACTGGTTGGCCATGGACCAGCAGTGTGTCCTTGCAGCCACAGCCTGGGCCACATTAGTGTAGCCAGCAAGCTAAGGAACAAGAAAGACATTAAGATCCAGCAGACGTCGCTGGGTTGTTGGGGGCTGAAGCATGGAGTGTCGTAGAAGCAACCAAGGGAGCTGGGTCCCCCTCCAGCCTGGGGAGGGGAAATCTCAGGGGAGAATTGCCCACAGCTACCCCATGGGAAAGTGATAGCAGAGCTGTAAACAGAGCCAGACTCCTCTGAGGTATGCAGGGGAAGGATGAAGGGCAACAGGTACAAGATGAGAGATGAGAAATGCTAGTTGAATCTTAGGAAAAATGTATTCCCTATGGGATAATCAGACACTGGAGTGGGGGCTCAGAGAAGCTGTGGGTTCTCTGTCCTGGGACATAGAGAAGCCTTGACTGGGCAGGGACTGGATCAACCCAGTCTAGTTGGACCTATGTTGAGCAGGGCTTGGACAAGGCACTTCCAGAGGTGCCAGCTACAGACGCCCCTGCCAGCTTCTGTTTTTCTGTAGCTCTGCAATTCATTCAGCTCAGCAAAGGGTTACCCCAATATACTAAAGCCAGGCCAGCTGATAAAGCAAAGCGAGAGGCAGAATCTGCATGGGATTCATACCCAGGTTGGGAAAAGACTGGGCACAGGGTCATTTTTAAACACTGGATATTTGGTCACCATTCTCCAATGTTTACTATTCTGCTGTTGGGTCCTAACTGTGTATTACAGGGTTTAACTTTTGTTCTGTCAATGACTTTTCTGCCCTTTGCCACAAACAGCTGACTTGCACTTTAATAGCAGAAGTGGTCTCATTGCAATGCAACAAAATGGGCATAATAACATGGCTTTTGTAACACTTGCAAAATATTTTCATTTAATTATTTTTGTAATTTTTCTTTTCCCACATGATTTGTGGAAAAGTTATTAACCCCCCTCCCTTGTTGCTAACACATACTTATCCCAGCAAAAAGAACATTACACCCTGGAAAAAGCTAAATGGTAAATGTGAGGGTTGAATTTTTTTAGTATGATCTGTTTTTATATACCTCCTTCCCCATTCCGCTTGCATACATTGTGTTGATCATGATTTGTTAAGGTGAAGTCTGGCGTTCTGCCAGATAAAAGTCTACAGTTTTCCCTATATTTGTAATTACATTTAAAGCATGGGTTTTTTTCTTTATGTGCCAGTAGGCATCATGGCCAGTAAACATTTGTGATTTACTGAATACTGCTCTTTTTTAGGCTTGCAGACCAGATGAGGATGATGAATTTTCCTCAGTGGTTTGATTTACTGAAGAATATTTTTTCTAAGTTTACCATCTTCCTCAAGAGAATAAAGGTAAGACATTCATCTGCCAAGAGCTTCACAGAGTTCAGACATGAAATGGAATGAAGTTACTTTCCATTTGAAGTCTGAAGGTGTTGGTTTTGCTTATAGAGTTCAAACTTCTGATGGAAAGAAGGATATGTGAATATCGGCATCCAGGGCAAAAATGATTAGTGCTAACAAAGAGAGCAGTGGGAAGGAGATAATACCTCTTGTTGCATGATTACATCCATTTCAGGCTGCTAGGGATTAGGACAGAACTTTTGTATGTGTTAGATTGCTCCAAATGAGGTTTCTTTCACCATTCTCAGAATCATCTGATACTGGTTACCCGCAGACGGATGGGTCTGCCTCTGAATGTTAATTACACAATAGAAAATAAAGCCAGGATTTAGTTTAATTTTGTGGGTAAAAGAAAATCTCTTTCTAGCACAAGCTTGTTTTGTTTTGTTGGTTTTTTTTTTTTTTTGTAATAAAAACTGTATTTGATTCTAGGCAACGTTAAATACTATCCGTAGCGTGGTTTTCTTGGTTCTAGACAAGAACCAAAAAACCAGAGACCTGGAGGACACCTTACAAAAGAACTCGGCTAAAGACAATACAGTGGATATAGAAGTAGCTTACCTGACCCATGAAGGCATGTTTATAAGCGATGCGTTCAGTGAAGGGGACCTCCTGCCTGTAGCAGCTGACACTACCTCTCAAAGAAACACTTCCCCAAACAGTGAGCCCTGTAGCAGTGATTCAGTCTCTGAACCAGAGTGCACTACCGATTCCTCATCCAGCAAAGAGCAAACATCGTCTTCTGTTACTCCAGGGGGAGTAGAGATGATGTAAGTAAATACGGTGCCTGTCTCCACTTTGCAGCGTGTCAGAAACAAGGTGTTAGGTGCAGGTGGTTGTTTCTGATGATACAGTACAAAAACTACTTTAAAGGAATCTGCTTTTCTAGGTAAGTGATGTGCAGTGGCTCTCCACCATCACCCCTAGAGACTGCTGTTAGACTGCCCTGTCCCCAGCTCTCCTTTGTTTTGTTTGTTTGCCTTGTTTTCACCCCTGTGGAGTGATACGGGGACTCGTTATTAAACTTCTTACAGAAAAGGGCCCCTTCTCCATCGTTCTGTTGGAGAGCTCATTTCTGTAGAGAACAGGAGAGATGCAAGTCTAGCCTACACAAAAGACAGATTGTTTGTCATGCCTGTAGCAGGCAGAAGCATCTCTGTTCCCTGTCCATGTTCTCTATGGCTATTTTTGCTGGGTTTTTTTAAGCTGGCTTCATGGAATACACCTTGATAAATTCTAGAGAAAAATCTGCTTTTCATTGTCAACTCTTTGACTGGCATGGTTAAATAATTCCATCTCAGTGCTTTGGTAACGTCAGCAGTGCTGTCCTGTGGTGCTCTAGACTCCAGAGTTGTAACCTTTCTGACATCCTTTTATGCATATCTTATTTATGGCTGGAAGTCAGAGCTACCTTTTAAAGAGAATCAGTCATAGTGTGTGTGGGACTTGGACATGAACCACTTCAAAAGCCAGCATGTCTGGATGCAGAGTTCTGTGAAGCAAAATTGAAATACCACTTGTTATCCCCCTGGAAGATGGAAGATAGCAAGTGGTTGGCTTGTTCTAACTGACACTCAGGTGTCTATACTGTGTGTTTAAGCAACTGTCAATTTTGATAGAGACCTTCCCCCTTAAATCACAATGCTGGCTGAAGGAGATGGATTTAAAATAAACATGCTGTGAATAAAACAAATTCAGGCCTCTGTTTGTCCAAACATCCATTGTACGCTGGAATTAAAATGTAATGTGGAGAGAGGTCCAGGGTTACAGTGAGGAGCAGGGAAGGAGAAGGGGGTTGGGTCCAAATCAGTCTGGAGCACTTTGCCACATTTGCTAAAAATATACCCCCCAGCTAGAGCTCTCAAGAAATAAAGTTCTTTCCAAGGCTGGTTGCATAACTCTGTTCTAAAATGAATTTGCTTCATCCCTCTCCTGGTTTTCTTTACACTTCTGCTCAGTGTTTGGAGGAGGCTTGTAAAATTACACAGTTAAAACAATGTGAGTCCCGTTGCTGCTCTGTAGTGTCCCAGGTTTTCTCTCTCTTCTCATACTGTCCCTTGAGCAGCCACACTGGACCAAAAGATTATTATCTTAACTAATTACGTGAATGGCAGAGCTGTGCTACAGGCTGTCCTCAAACCAGTAGACAAATCACAAAAGGCTTTTTAAAAAGTACCAACTTAAAGAGCCTGAAGTCTTAAGAACTACTAGAATGACAGCCTGTAGATTAAGGTGGTGGGGAGTGCAGAATATGTATTTTAGGCCTTACACTTGCATTGGAAGAAAAATGCTGTTTTATCTGCTGTATGCCTGCAATGCTTGAGTGTTACAGGAGCTGGGTAAATTTTAGCTCAGTCAATGTTAGTAATACTTATTGTATTAGTAATGGCTATATCATGTCTTCTTTTAGACCATTAATAGCAATTAGAATGTGGATTTAAAACAAAATAAGGGATGTGCGGTTATGCATTTCCTTGTTGCAGGGACTGAGATGACATTGACAGCAGCTTAGAAGATCCCATCTGTACAAAGTGACTTTGGTGATTAACTGACTGTCTGCATTTGACAGTTGCTGCAAGGCTCTTTCCTCCTTCAACCTATGAGCAGAAATACTGTTGGTTTGGTTTTGTTTTTTTTTTATAAATTGATGTTCAACCAACTGGTTCTGTCATTTGTAGGATCAGTGATGACATGAAGCTGACTGACCTGGAACTGGTCAGGCTGGCAAACAATATTCAAGAGTTACTTTACAATGCCTCTGATATCTGCCATGATCGTTCAGTCAAGTTCCTTATGGCAAGAGCAAAGGTAAGGAACTTGGGTCAGACTGCTGTTGGTGTCTCATCCTTAATGAGAATTTACTCCCAAGTTACTGTTTTAATGAGTGAGAGTTTTGAAAGGTCATTCTCAATTAAGTAACTGTTCCTGCTGCCGCAGGCACTTGATGTTAATGCCCAGAGCACACAAGCATTAACATATCATGTCATTGTAGGACAATGTGGGTTTCTGCTCCTTTTTTTTTTTACTTTTTAGTAAAAAATGCTGTCTTTGCATGCAGAGAATATATTTCTATGACAAGGTAGCTGCTTATGCTGCAATCTGCCTTCTCTGTCCCATGTAGGGTTAAATAATGTGCCTCTTAAAATACTGGTAGCCCTCAGACGAGCTGACTAGTTATTTCTTTCCATCTGTGAGTTTTTGTGGTGTTATGTCTCCTTACAGTGGTTCTCTTTGCATTTAGGATGGCTTCCTGGAGAAGCTGAATTCCAATGAATTCGTTGCTCTTTCTCGCTTGATGGAAGGCTTTATCTTAGATACTGAGCAGATCTGTGGCAGGAAAAGTATGTCCTTGCGAGGAGCACTTCAGAGTCAAGCCAATAGATTTGTGAATAGATTTCATGAGGAGAGGAAGACGAAACTAAGGTATCTCTGGGTAGAAGATCTTTGTGTTCTTACATGAGTAATTTCATCAGTCATATGCCAGGCAAACACATGCTTTTATTGCCTAGAACACTAGTAAGCCAGTTGTACTTAAGAGCGGGGTGTGAAAAATCAGTATTAAAATTATTTTCAATTGGTTTAGACTTTTACTGTTTTCATAACTTAATTTCTTCAAACTATATTGTTCTACAGTTATCTAAATAAGGACAGTAGTAGCTACAGAAAGTACTCAAGACTGACATTGAAGAGCAGAATTGCTCTGTCTTGGGGGTTAAGTAACTTTAGGATAATTCACTTCAAACTGTTATTAAAAAAAAACAAAAAACAAACAACAACACAACCAAAAAGCCCCCCAAGCAAACAAAACCAAATCCAAACCAAATAACCCCAAACCCAACCCTGTACCAAAAAACCTTCAACAAAAACAATTAAGAAAACCCTTAAGCACTTGGAGAACAGTCTTTCCAGTAATATACATCAAGTCTTTTTGCTCTCATCGTCAAAAACTCTTAAAAGTTCCAGTATTTACACATCGTTTCAGTGGCAGTGATCTCATAAGGACCTTTATTGCTTAGTGTAGTCTTCTCTATGATAGATTGAATGAACAAATTGTGAGACCTTGAGGCCAACATGGTGTTTCTCTGTTTTGCTACTGCCAATTGTTGGACACCTCTTTCTAATGAAGGTGAATTAACATTTTGGGCCACTGGCTTATTTTTTAAAAAAATTACTGTAGTTTTGATTCCACCGCATTACAGGCAGGAGAAGCATCAAGACGTTTACTTTTCTCAGCCTCCTCTCTTTCGTGTTTATAACTAGTCTACTTTTGGACAACGAGCGCTGGAAGCAAGCTGAAGTTCCTGCCGAGTTTCAGGATCTTGTTGATTCAGTGTCAGATGGCAGAATCTCTCTCCCTGAAAAAAAACCTGCAGGTATGTATCTTGCAGTCCTACTGTTAACTGAATTTATTATCAGCAAATGCTGCTTTTGAATGTTGATGGGCATATTCTGATGATTCTTATGTCATTCTTCATCTGTGTTTGCTCCCTGTCTTCTGGGGGGGATCGGAAGCAAGTTGATACCTTTTTTCTTTTTTTTTTTTTTTTTCTTTTTTCTGTTACCAGTGTTGAAACTTCTTGTGCTAACCTTAAAAGACCTTTTTTTTTTGACAACCCATTTAAGTGTTAGCACAGGGAGGGAGCTACATTTTTATACAAGTATTCCCAGTGTAGAGGCTTACATTCTTTGCACAAATTTCCTCAGAACATACCACTGAAGTGTTGCAAGGGACTGAGGAGCATGTGTGTGTGCTCAGCTCTCCTTGTGTTAAACAAAGCTTGCTCCTTCCCACTACTTGATGCTATGAGACTGCTCATGGCAGTGGAAACTCGGGTGCATTCAATTATTTACCTTCCCACAGAAACCTCATTTGACCTCAGACGAGTCACTTTTTTTCTCCTCGCGTCCCATTTCTCTGTGTACGAAATGGGAATGCATAATGTGTTCCTACTTTGTGAGGATACTCATCCCATATTGCAGTGATGAATGTGAACAGCTAGAAGAGGAAGAAAACATACACAGAGGGGAAGAAAATGGCGAGAGATGAGAAGGAAGAAAATACAGTACTGTCATAGTGGAGAAACCACAATCCCCCCCCCCAAAGGAATATAGCAGATACAGGGAGCATGTTGGGCAATGATCACTGCAATTACGGAACATGATAACAAAATATACTCATTGACCATTGCTCTTAAAATAAGCTCTTGCAGCTTCCTTTAAGAAGATGGGAAACTGGTGGCATCAAATTTAGCATGAAAAACTGCATCAGTAAGAGCTTCTAGTATGAAGCCTTAGGAAGAAGATTAAATATTGATATACCCAAACTATACTGGTTTGAAGATTAAAAATTAATATACCCAGCAAATCATTTGAGAATGAATAGTAGAAAACCTAGTGACTTTTTCTGCTTTTCTTCTGTTTGTAACCTGTTGTATTTGAAGTTTTTAAGTCCATAATGACTGTGGAACTCTGGGAGATTTTTACTCTAAAATCCCAGCAGATAATAAAATAACTTTACAGATCATAATAATTATGATGGGCAACAAACTATGTAACAAATATTGTAAAAGAGCAGTGCTTCAAAAATTACTTTTTTTTCAAGCCTTAGTAAGTGCACACTAAATTTTTAGCAACTAGCATTGTTTGTACTTGGTTTTAGTTCAACTCATCCCTTTTAATTTCTTGCTAAAATGTCTAGCTACTGAAGAAAGAAAGCCAGCTGAATTCCTTATTGTTGAAGGACAAAAATATGCAACAGTTGGGTAAGATGCACTCTTTTCTCTTAGCAGTGGGTTATTTGGCAAGAACTTTTGCATAGAACTGTGATGAATACTAACAGCTTTAGCAATCTTCTTTAAATAAAAAAAAGCCTCTTCTTCCACAAACTAGTTTCTTTAGTTCTCAAACAGTTATAAAACATTGCAAGCACTTCTGTACATTAAAATGCTCTTCTCTGAATGACTAGGCTGAAATTTATGGTTTCATTTGAATATGTTTGGAGTTTTTTCCAATTATATCATGAAAACACCTGAAAATACAGGTTTGTCTTCCATAGCACACTGTTGTTATTTCTTGCACTATAGGTTATCTCTGGCAAAATCGTAGAATCATAGAATGGTTTGGGTTGGAAGGGACCTTTACAGGTCATCTAGTCCAACCCCCCTGCAATGAGCAGGGACATCTTCAATTAGATCACGTTGCGAGAGCCCCATCCAAACTGGCCTTGAATGTTTCCAGAGATGAGGCATCTATTACCTCTCTGGGCAACTTGCTCCAGTGTTTCATCACTCTCATGGTAAAAAATTTTGTCCTTAAATCTACTCTCATTTAGTCTAAAACCATTATCCCTTGTCCTATCACAACAGGCCCTGATAAAAAGTCTGTTCCCATCATTTTTATGAGCCCCTTTTAAGTACTCGAAGGCCACAGTAAGGTTTCCCCAGAGCCTTGTCTTCTCCAGGCTGAACCCCAAAATACATGAGTCTACTATGGGATGATTGCTTATTTTATTCAGAATAAGAAATCGGATGTGGGCCGGATGTGGGCTATCTTAGAAGCTGCATACACTTGCAGCTTTCTTGGCATCCTGATTGCTCTGGGTTGGAAAGTAGTTTCTTAAAGATGGTTATATCAAGGACATTTTTAAAATGTATGATACTCACATACTTCTTTCATTTAAAAACATGCTGTGCTTCCAAAGACTGTGAGGCTTAATCATTAAATATGCATGAGAGTGTTTTTGAGGAGGGAGTAAAACTTGGAAGATCTCACTCCCCAGAGCCCTAACATCAATTTACCCCAAACTTAAAAGTTCCGATTTCCATAATGTCTTTGACCAGCTGTCATTTTGAGTTGCTTCGTGATGATGCATCGCTGTTCAATTAGAAGCTGATGGCTCAGAACTTCTGTGCCAGCCAACTGATGTCACTGCAGAAGAGCATTTCAGGTCAAGCAAGAGCATCTGAACATGCTTTAAAGGATAAAATATACTTAATAGATGATGTGTTTGATAATCCATCACTGCTCATTTTAAACTTACTATGTTTAGCTCTGTGAAGCAGTTGTCAGCTTCATGTTGGTGCAAATATTTGTTTCAGTTCTACAGACTTCTACATACAGTTTTATTGTATTTAATCAAATAAAATGCATTTATGAAAAAAAGCCTAGATGTCCCCCCAAAATTTTCCAGGTGTTTATTTTCAGTTGATTGTTCATCATCTTTCTAAACTCTACTTCCTAAAGGAAGAAAGAGATCTAACTTTATGAAATGTTAGAATATCTAGTCTGAACATTGGATCTCACCTTAGTTTTCCTGCCTTTTGTGTATTTGAATTCAAAGGAGCACACCTGTTCTTTGTGGAGCCTTCTTAATTCCATCCAGTAGCTCCTGAATTCTCCAGTGCCTGCTGAATTCAGGGGAAAATTACAAGTGTTGAGCATCTTTGAATATTTGGTGGTGTTTCTTCACAGCTACCTTCTCTGGTTAAAGATTCGTTAGCATTCATTACATCCTTTTCAGTGGTGGTTGCAGTCTACATTCTGTGGATTTTTATACTTAAAGTTGGCCAGAATTATACAGTAGTATAAGAAAGGAGCTTTGGATTTCTTTGTCCCCTGCCAACATCTATGTGGAGACTTTAGTCCCACAGTAGCTTTTTTTTGAGATCAAAAAATTATACCAATGAACCTTAGATATTATCTCTCATATGTTAAGTATTTTTTCCACATGCCACCCTGTGGAATGGATTTTCTTTATAACCATCCTTATGTATATATTCTTTTATGTTCTACTTCAGATCAGTTAGTGGGTTTATTTAATGCTATAATCTCTAGCATTAGGTAGCTTTCTATCAACATGACTGGCCTTTGTTTGATTTTTCAACATCATCTGTGCACTGAGATGACATATTTGGCTGTTTCCTCTCTTGTAGGACAGTATTGCTGTTAATAAGAATAATCCTTGAGTACTGCCAGTGTGTGGATAACATTCCTTCCATCACGACTGATATGCTTACCCGCCTGTCTGATTTACTGAAGGTATGACTCCAAATGTACCAGCTGTGCTAATCGGGGGTATTCAGGGCAGAGAACATGTCTTGCTCTCTGTAATGCTTCATGTGTTTTTATGATTTCCTATAAATTATATAAACTGTCTCAAAATGATTGCATTTGTTACTGTGCCATAAGGTAGCCTTTTAACCTAAGGGTATTAAAGATGCAATTTGTTGTGTGAATTAACTTCAGGAATGCTGTCTCTCCTCTTCTTCACCTGTAATATTGGAAATCACATCTAATAAGTGTTTGTCATAGCAGCCCAGCCTTCAGGCTGGGTGTGGAATTAATGCTGCTGAAGAAAATGCAATTTGATCCCAGATGCCACAGACATCTATCTATATTAAGGAAGGAAACAAGTCCCTTGGTTTTTATAAGTGAGTAGAGGTATAGGTAGTAGAAGCATGAAAAATAGTATGGGATGAAGCTTCTGTTGTAAAATGTAAAGGTGATGAAAGACCAGGACCTTCTTGTCATTTATTTCGCACTAGAGAAGAGGAAAGCTGGTAAAGCACAGACACTGCAAGGTAATATAAGTAAACAATAATAAAAGGGGCACATGAATGTATCTTAAAACTCTGTGTGTGTGTGTGTAGGCTCCAAAGCCTAGCAGTTAATTTATTTCAAGGTTTTCGCTTGTGTCTTTGCTCACAAAGGTTATGTCACATATTAGAGTTCTGAGCATAAGCATAATCAATAAAAGATGAACAGGTTCTACTCACCAAAAGTAATTTTATACTCTTCAAAAATATTTTACATAAAGTGGGGGACGGAGAAGGGGAAACATACCCCAGGAGATGGACCTTTAAGTAGCCTTCCTGTTGGTAGTTCTTATCTGAATAACCAGATGCAGGAACGTTCTTCCCTGCAGTCATCATTCAGATTCATCCACAAACATTGCCCTTTGAAAGCACTATCCAAGGCAAATCATTCAGTCTGGGCCTGGGGGATACCCCTCTTCACCTCTCATTCTCCAGCTGCTGTTTCATTCAGATCTTGCAACACCTTTTCACAGGCAGGCACAATAGAAGCAGCTGCCTCAAACTTGGCCAGACTTGCATCTCTCTGTGTTACTTCTCTCTCCCTACTGTATCTTGTTCTAGCCCTATGTCATTTGTGGTTTATTCCTTTGTATTCAAACATTATGTGCAGTTTAATTATTGTATTTCCTTCTGGCAGCAAGGTGCCATTAATTGGAGAGAAGACAAGAACAGCTAGCAAAAACAAAAGATCATTTGAACAAAATAAGAGCCACTCAAGGTGTCGTTGCATGTCACTATGCTTTTTGTTTGACAACTGTCAGAGCTAGCAAGCTTAGAAGGTAGCAAGAGATGGTCTTTATTGTGATGGAAACTGCAAAGTGTTCCCAGGTAATGAGATTCCAGGTTGCTTTGAACTGTGGCTGCAACCAGAGTGAAATGACACCTGTGTATGGACAAAAACACCATCGTAATTACAGGAAAGAGAAGGCTTGCAGCCATGGTGCTGAAACACAGAAATGCTTTCCTCCAAGCAGTCACAAGGAGGGGGTATTGCTCTTTTGATGTTTAAGTCATGCTGCTGTCTCGTTGCTTTGTCTGGAACAGACTGTCCAGTAACTGAGTAATATCCATGAAAGGCAGTGGGAGAGTACAAGTGTCTATCGTCCTTTGTAGAGCATGTTTTTAATGGTCTGCCACGCAGTCAATGAGTTGGTGCTAACTGGAGCTAAATACCTCAGAGGATAGGCTGTGTAGGATGTGGCTTTAGCTCAGTGGATCTACTTCTAAAGACCACCAGGAGGCATAAGAATAGGTCTTGCTTTTCAGGAGGAGATTAAGTTAATGTCAGGCAGTTTCAGACCCTGACTTCTGTCTGAGGGCAGAGTAGTTTATGCCCCTCTCAGGTCAGGTGCCACACATAGCTCAGGTTTAATTGTGGCACTAGGGCTGTGTTACTTTTCTAGCCCCAGATACACCACTCTGGCAGCCTAAGGTGGATGTGTGGGGTTCACGACGTATCCTCTGCGGTCCTGAGTTTTGTGACTGACTCCAGGCAACAGCCAGAAAAATTGTTTCATGTTTTTACTCATGGAGGGTTAAAATTTTGGGTTTGTTCTTGCATTATCACAAAGCAAGGCCTGTGAAGCAGGTTTCTAGCCCCCCAGAAAAAGAGCTCTGTGTGAGGGAAATTCTCTGTGTTGCAGACACAAGCTGCAGGGCCACCTTGTCGCAATTCCTTGTGAATCTATCTTCAGGTGCATAAGAAGGTGTCAGCTGTCTGGAGGTTTTACCTCTCAATTTCCACCCGTGTCAACAGGGCAGTTCTGTTAAACTTGAGCACTGGGACTTATGCTCTACATTCAGTGCAGAAATCGGGGACAACAGCAACAGCTTCTCCATCTCTACTGCATCACTCAAGCCAGTTTAGAATACCTGGTGTCTCAAAGTTGCGTGATGGAGCAGCATTCCAAAATAAGACAGAATATGCTAACATGAACTGTCTTACTGTCCAGAGACTTTGCTGGCCTGCATGCACTTAGTAATTTTTTTTCTCTTGGAACTAAGTCAGCAAGATCAAGTCATGAGTCCTCCACTATAGGTGGAATTCTTACAGAATTAGGTTTTGGTGTGGCTTAACGTCTTCTGTGTATTATTTCTTAATCTCAGTATTTTATATTGTTATAAACACAGATTCAGTCATCTCAGCAGCAGTGAGTTTCAAGTTTTCTTTAACATCAGTAATGAGGAAGGCCTAGACCCAGAGCAGAAACTTGTTCTTTTGATATTTTCCATTCTGGTATTACACTTGTCTACTCTACTTAGCAAAACTAGTGAGTTCCTTCTCCTTCACTACATTCAAGGTCCTGGTTTGAGAAGTACATTTTACAGATTTCTAGTACAAAGCTGTCCTTATGTACAGCTTTCAGAGTTAAGGCTGAACATAGCTAGTCTGCAGCAAGTCTGACTTGTGGCTTTGCTTTCACAGACAAGCCTCACCAAAAGGTCTCAGAGAGAAGCAGAAATTAGTCCCTGAATTGAAATCATTGAGTAGCTGTGTTTTTAATAGTAGTATTTCTGCTTCCCTTTGCTGAAATGCTGCCTTGAGTGCTTTAGCATAAGTTGAATCAAAAAATATTATGTGCCAGTGACTACTGAGAGTGGTGAAAAATTCCTTTTGTCTTACTAGTTAACAGCCATGGACTTCTCTGTAGTAAGAAGTATGTGAAACTCTTCGCACTGGGCTTCATAATAATCTATTTAATCTTGCAAAATTCTATTGATGGTATTTCTAAACTATGGTTATGCATAGTTGTTGAAAAGTCAGCATGCATTTTCTCTATCTTTTTCTTTCTCACAGTATTTCAACTCTAGAAGTTGCCAACTAGTGCTTGGAGCTGGTGCATTACAAGTTGTTGGTTTGAAAACAATCACTACAAAAAACCTAGGTATGGACTTCTATATTTAAAATGTCAAAACTTGTTCTCCTACCTGTTTAAACATTTATGATAACCTATGGTTGTGTTGTGGTTGCTGTGCATGGAACACAGAGGGTGATAAAACCTTGCTGCTTAGAGGGTAAAACAGGTATAAAAGCTAGTGAATTGGCTGATGAAGCACTAAAATCCATCCAGTTCCTTTGCTTTCTGCTGGATCAGTTTAAATGTAAAGCTTCACTGTGTTACATGAAGGAAACCTGAGAACAAATATACAGGCTAGCAAGCTTTCCATGAAAATGTTTTGACTGCAGGAAGGTGTAATTACTTTTTTAGTGGTGACTTTGGCATGCTTGGGAGGTGCTTAGTGTTCAGATCTTGAGACAGGGGTTACGTAGGTAGAGGAATGCAGCCAAACCCCTGTCTGCCCGTGCATTTCGCTGAGCTGTGCTGTCCCATCTGCCCTGTGGTGCTGTATTCTGTAACACCGTGTCCATATACAGCTCCTGTGGGTTATAACCGTGTGTCAGTAATGCGCGAATGGATTTCTGTGGGTGGCTCTGGGCAGAATAGTTAGTCTTTATGTGGCTGAATGTACTGGTGCAGTCAGGTAACTTAAGGCTCTGTGTCTGCATGCTGAATCCAAACTATGATTTGGGCTTTAGAGTTTCTCGTTTTTAGTGTGCAGCTATTTAGCTGAAGTTGCCAGCCCCAAGTTACCTGTCTGGACTGCTTCAGCTGCTCTGACATGCTGGGGAGAACTAGGTGCCCAGTTCCGTGCTACAGAAAAGTCTGATGTGCTACTTGAGACCCCCAGTTTTAAACTTATCTCCTGAAATTAAGAGCCTTTAATTGACGGGTCGAAGCAGCTGTTTAACTTGCAGTTCCTGTGTTTTGGGGTGTCCTGTCTGCCCTTCTTTTTTAAAAGGGAATAGCTTGAGTTGAGGGCTGAGAGTCTTCCCCCTAAGGGGCCATGGCCCATAGTCTTGAAGCAGATGCAAGTGAGCAGAGAAAATCTAGGTCGGGTCTTTGCTCCAGAAGGCTTGGCCATGTGGTGACCACGCTGGCGCCCCTGTGTGTCCTGCTGCCAGCTCAGGCCCCGCTGGACACAGGAGAAGCTTAGTTTTGGGAATCCTGGCAGCACCACGGGCGGGTGCAGGCTCTGGGCAGCTCAGCGCTGGCAGGGCAGGGTGTTTATGTACGCCTCCTGCAGAAGAAATATTGATGCCTTGAGAATGTGGCTGTTGAGGTTAGGTAGCTGATGAGTCAGGTCTTCTGAGATCTCTCTGATGTCTGCGTGTGCTCAGGGCTCAAAATGTCAAGTAGACACCTAAAGCCCCTTGTAAAATTAGTCTCTTAACCCGTGTCTTGCAGAAGCTGGGTTGAATAGCCAGGTACTAGTCTGGCATCTTCACTGGGTGGGTTTTTCCCAGTGGAAACAAATGCTTACTTTCTTTTTTTTTTTAAAACAAACAATCCAACAAAAACCCACAACCAAAAAAGCAGCATGTTAAATTGTATCAGATCTGTTATTTATGTTAAAGGAGATACACTCTATACAAAATGACTCTTCCTGTGTAATAATTGTTATTTTTCTTTCCCTCTCTCACTTTTGGATTTACAGCCCTTTCTTCACGTTGCCTACAGCTAATCGTACACTACATTCCTATTATCAGGGCTCATTTTGAAGCTCGACTGCAGCCGAAGCAGTTTAGCATGCTCAGGCATTTTGACCACATTACGAAGGTAATTCTTTTGGCATTTCCTAATTAAACACAAAGTTCTGCTTTTCAACCGTGCTCTGAAGAATATGAATGCTGTTAGACAGTAAATAAACCCTGCTTTCTTCCATTACAGGATTATCACGACCACATAGCTGAAATTTCAGCAAAGCTCGTTGCCATAATGGATAGCTTATTTGACAAACTATTATCCAAGGTAATGATTTATGGAAATAATTATACATTCTCTAAATTGCAATTGGAGGCCTCATTATATACAGTCTAGATATTTCAAATGGAGTCTTAAACTTTCCTAATCAGGAATTGTTTGAACTTCTCTAAACTGTATGAACACAAAGCTCTGTTGCTGTACTTGTGAATGTATTTTGTCTTAACTTTTGCCACCTGGGTGTCATTTGTCTTCACCCTCCCCACCCCCACCCCCCCAAAAAAAAAAAATAAAAAATTTCATGTTTACTCCTTCAGCAGTAACAGAAATGCTTTGTCTGGCACAGATGCTCTGGGGTTTAGAAACTGAAGTGCTCTCCTACCCTCAGCAGTTTTATCTACTGACAGCTCTTGTCTGCAATTGGGCTGAGCCCCAGTCCCCGCTTCCTGCTCTTCCCAACCATGCCTCTTTGGAACTGGCGAGCGTGTAATTTCCTGCAGCTGAGGAAACGGCAAAAAATTGCTGAGGAGGAAGAGTTTTTTGAGGGGAAGGACCAGCCCATTTATTGGGCTGCAGTCTTGGAGATTAGAGGTCTGCGCTTAGCAGTTCCTGCTGCGTAGCTGTGCAGCATTAATAGCTGTCCCATGAAGTGCTCTTTGTGGTTTTTTGGTTTTGAATGCTTGTAAGTGGAAGAGTTTGGTCCTGGGCTGAATCCATGCCCTCCAACTCACCTCAAGGTGGAATACACTGACAGTGCCCCAAGATGGGACCTCCTGGGCCCACAAATCTGATAGATACAGCACATGAGCTTTTAAAGCTTAGTGTTTTGCTTTGGATCTTAGGCTCTTTTTTTTTTTGACATAAAATGTGTTCCATGAGAGAAATAAACTAATTCTTCTGTGTCAGATTTGATTGATTGGCCTGGGCCAGCCTCTTCCTTGTGGGAGCTCATGAGAAGCACAGCATCTTCCTGGTGGAGAACAGCTGGGGACAGGCAGATGCAGGCTGCAATGAGGCAGCTGAAACAGGCAGCATTTCTCTCTTCCTTGCTGTTTCTGTTATTTTATAATTTATTTTATGTAGTGCTTTTTCGTTGCATCTGTTTCTTTGGGCTATCAAATAAATAGTGTTACCTAAACTTAGGGAGGAAAAAACCCCAAAGCATTTACATTGGGATTCCGTGCCCCCTGTTGTGTTTACACTTTTCAAAAACACGTTTATGCCCCTTTCTAAAGATCCAAATAGTGGTCTACTGCTTTTCTGGGTTTTTTTCCCCCACACAAAAATACCTGTTCTATGAAGTAACATGGCTTTTTGGTCACTTAACCTCTTTATCTCTCGAAAATAAAAGACAAATACAAGAATTTAGATTATTGATACCAAACAAGTTAGCCCACAGCAAACCAGTAACACAGTTTATGTTCCTGATGGTACAGCCTTTAAAGATGGTACATCTTTACAGCCCATTCTCCCCTTGAGCTGGCACAAGATAAAAGCTGAGAATATTCCCATCTTTTAGAGCTCTTAAAGGCTTGAGTTGAGAGTGCCAGGCTCACGTGGAGGCAGCCCACAGAGTACAGGAGAAAAGGAGACCATGTGTTATTTCCCTCTATTTCTAACATACCTCACAATTTGGCTCATCTTGCTCCTGAAAATGAAATCATGGCACCAAAGATTGTGAAGAACATGAAAACAGGAAATTTGCAAATGGGCATGTCAGTGCAACCATGTCAGTGTGTTCTTTGGTGTAGTTTTGTGAGAGTCTAAATATTTCAGTGGTCACCTGCTATTAAAGTGTGTAAAACTGAATGAGTACACAGGCAAGTTTCATAGCAGTGCGTGGCCAGCATGCTTTAGAAACAAACACTGCACGATCTAGAAACGTGCTTTGTAGGGGACAGACAGTTTGGTCCAGTAGATGGGACGTTGACCAGGCACTTGGGTAATGAGAGCAAGTTACTTTTGTGTTTCCAGGCTCTGCTTCCCTCTGGGAGCTCGGTGGAACAGGAGCTGTCTTCACACAGTGCCACTGTGATGCGGCCGTGTGCTCAGCGAGGCGTTTCACAACAGCAGGGACAGTTCCCAGCATCTGTCTGTTAACTTTGGCAGGGAGGTAAAACAGGAACGGTGGTATTTAACAGCTATAATTAACACGTGAAAAAGGCGTAGGTTTTTAAAAAGGGGTAGGTGTTCATGGAAAAAATCTGGTGCAAGTTCTTAGCTTCTCTGGGAACTTGCTGTCTTGTGACTGTTTGGACAGAAGAGCAGTAAATTTTTGACTGATCCCTCGTGGTTTACGTGCTGTTGACCTTCACTGGAGATAAAAATGGCCAGCACCTTGCAGGACTGGAGCTCATGTTTCTTTCTGGTGCTGCTGCTCTTCCCCCATCACGATGAAGAGTCTGATTTGTCTGTGGTCACACAAGAGCTGTTGCTTCAGCTTGACAGTTCCCTTTGGCTTTACAACATACTTGTAAATTGTAAATCATTTGTTGCCTAACCCTTATGTCTTGAGGCACAATCCTGTACACTGTGCAGTTGTCCCACACAGGGAACAGAGCTCCTGGAGCAGTAAGCGCTATTTTTCTGCTACTTCTCCTGTCAAAATTAGGTCATCAGTTTTGCTTTTCCGTAAAGACTTTCTCAAAACTCCCCATTTCTTTTTTTCTCTCACACTCAGGCAGGCTTTGTTCTCATTCACAGTTCAGGCTAGCATGAGAGAGCGCCTCCAAATGTGTTTGTAAATAATTTAGTTACAACAATTCGGCTCTTCCAGCGAATTTTGCGAGGCTCTGAGGGAAGGGAGGTATCACCTTACCAAAGGCGACCTACCAGTGATTAACCCAGACCTGTACTAGCGCAGCCTCTCTGCCAGGAACTGAAGGGCTAGCTTCCCTGTTCCTGGGACAGTTTTTCAAAGTGCTTCTGAAATTATTCAGATCTTCCCTATCCAGGCTGAGGACCTAAGAATTTTCTTCCCTTTGTAGCAAATCTCTTGCCATCTGGTGGTGTCCAGTGTCTTATTTCTTGGGTTTCAGTCACTGGGAGAAGGAACATTTTCTACTTTGTTTTCCAAGGTGTTTCTGCAACGTTTTTGTGGGGGGTTTTTTGGTGGTGGTTTTTTTTTCTTCTTTTTATGGCCAGGAGCTTCCATTTCTTTATGTTTTACTTTCCTTGTTTCTTCAGAAATTTGGGTGTATATGATCTTGGAGAAGTAGTTTTCTCTCGTGAAGTACTTGAGGTAGAATTGCTGGTCTGTCACTGACTCGTACAGATCTGAGGGAGAGGGCCAGCTCACAGGCCACACGGCATGCATCAGTGTAGCTGGCACAGTGATTATTCTCCCTGCATCTGTAATTTCACCTGCATCTGGTGGTGGAAACCAACAAAAAGTAATGAGCAAAGAAAAGCGATTCAAACTAACAAAGATGAATAGATTAAATTGGGAAATCCTCAGATTTCATACTGCTTTGAGATTTCTTATAAAGCAAGAAGTGCTAAAAGATTGTATGATGCGAGTCCTTGGCTGAATCAGACAAACCCAGCTACTGTTTTAATTTGTGATACACTAAATGAACCTTGGTTCATGACGTCATTAGTAACGGAGGGCTTTAGATGGCTGTTGGAAACTCTTCTATATAAACTGTTTTAAGTGGTAAAGAGGAGTAACCAGTGGTGTTTTTATTTCCAGTATGAAGTGAAAGCTCCTGTTCCTTCCACATGCTTCAGGAATATCTGCAAGCAAATGGCAAAGATGCATGAAGCTATATATGATCTCCTTCCTGAGGAGCAAACTCAGGTGAATGTTATTTTTGAGATTCATGTAACACCTCCCTTGCAAATGCACATGGACTTGGTAACAAGAAAGACTTATGCTTTATCTAGGGGGAGAAATATTCTTTTTTGAGTCTTTGTGAAACCCCCACATTAAAGGGGTTGGCAGCAGTCATGCAGACAGCTCAGTCTGAACTGAAGTAAGTGTTTGGATGTGCAGAGAGAACGATGAGACATGCAAAAAGAACTGACTGCTGACAGCATTTTGAGCTACATTTTAATGTCTACAGGGGTGAATCTTCAGTTCAAATTAGCGCTGAAATTCTGCACAAACAGCAGCACTTTGGGTCTCGAGTACAGCCCTTCCAGGGAATTCTTCTGTAACGCTTCTCAAACTTAGTGGCTTCTGAAGGTCTCTAAATGTCTTACGCAGCCAAATAGTACCAGATGTGCTTTTTCTTTTGCTGCAGTTACTGCTACTGCAGTTTTAAGTCTGAGGACAGGAAGGACTGATCCAGTATACACTAAGTTGTAGTTTCTCTTTTGCACTAAATTAAATGGTCTCTTCAACTGTTTTTCATGCTTTCTCTTGCAAGAAAAGACTTTAAGTGGTTACAGTACAGGGAAGAGATTTGTTACCTTCTAGCCTTAATAGACATTGCTAGATGCTTCAAACAACAGGGAAGAAAAATTCATGCTCCAGAGAATGTGTCTTCCAAGTGCAACATGTAACAAATAAGTGAAGGTGTACACTGTCCTGCGTGTTAGAAATTGTGTATGGCCAGAAAGATTAGGAGCCTGAAGGACTGGCAGAAGGGAAAGTCACATGCATTGCTAAAACAGAACCAAAGGTTAGTGATTTAAGGCTTTGGTGGTAGATTCCCTCACTGTAGGCAGCGATGCAATCCTGGGGATGGTTCCTTACTCTGGTTCTGGGGTTTCTTCTAGATGTTGTTTTTACGAATTAACGCAAGCTACAAACTTCACCTGAAGAGGCAGCTGGCCCACCTAAACGTCGTCAATGATGGAGGACCTCTGAATGGGTACGTTTGGATACATTTTTTTACTGTTTAATTTAAATAATCAGGCTTTGTCTTCCTGCAGGAAAGTTGTAAACGTGGAATGCAGCCACACTCTGGGTTTTAGCATGTCCCATTTGGAGCTTTCTTACAGTAAAGGACATGACCTGTGCCTTTCCATACTAACTAGGAATGCAGTTGGCTTGATAATAGACTGGGAGTTGGGCATTGTCCTGCAGGAAGCCTGCTGTAGGTTTTCTCTGTTTGTGGGTGACTTTTTCTCCGTTTGTGTGACAGCAGTGGCCACAGTTTGATTCACAAGAATCGCGTGATTCATGAAGCAGTTTTGAAACATGGATGATGACTCACAGCGCTAGCAAAGTAAAAACAGGAAAAAGTGGTATTTCATCTGTGTGACAGGCAGCTTCTATACAGAAACTGTTTTTACAGCAGAACTGGATTTAAAACAAAGTTTATGCTCCACAGAGCTTTTACCCCTTCCTGCCCCATCCCCAAAACGGGTCAGTGGTGCCTCTCATGGAAGGGTGTGGCTGGCTGTGCCTGTGCCTGGCATCCCACACCTCCCAGGAAAGAGAGCAGCCTCTTGCAGACTGAATCCTGTTTCTGGGTTTTTTTTTCAGTCTGGAGGAGGCTGAGGGGAGACCTCATCACCCTTTACAACTACCTGAAAGGAGGGTGCAGAGAGCTGGGGATGAGTCTCTTGAACCAAGAAACAAGTGATAGGACAAGAGGGAATGGCCTCAAGCTGCACCAGGGCAGGGTTAGACTGGATATTAGGAAGCATTTCTTTCCAGAAGGGGTGGTTGGGTGTTGGAATGGGCTGCCCAGGGCAGGGGGGGAGTCCCCATCCCTGGAGGGGTTGAAGAGTTGGGTTGACCCAGTGCTGAAGAATATGGTGGAGTTGGGATTGGTCAGTGTGAGGTTAATGGTTGTAGACTAGATCATCTTCAAGGTCTTTTCCAACCTTGATGATTCTGTGACTCTGTAAGTTGGATAGTCCCCTGAAAATGGTGGGGTTTATAATCATTCTTAATGACCTGGGGGTATAATAAAGGGGAAATTCAGTTGTCCTAGCTACATGCAGGAAAGCATTGTCTTAGGCTGAAGAAGCCAGATAAGGAAGTTTACAGATGTTTCAGGTGTTTGTGGAATGATTTTGTTCCTGCCCAGTTTATTCTTACTTGTCCTGCTTAAGGTTATTCATCCTTGTACTCTGTGCAAGATGTATCTGAAATGGGTTTCTGTACTTGTGTACATGCAAGGTAACATCCGCTTGCCTTTGGTGCTTAGGAAGGTAATTGTAAGTCAACAAACTTCCAGAGGCTGCAGCAGCCCCAGCTGAAGTGAGAGCACCCAGAGTGTGTTGGGTGTGTTTCACACTTGAGTTTCTAGCCCTGAACAGTGCACTGTGCCGTCTCTGTTTGGTGCCTGTGGCTGGACCTCTTTTTGCTCGGAGGATCAAGGCAGGAGTCCTGGTGACGTAACGGTGGTGTTTCCCAGCACAGTCCTCCTTACAGTCAGACGGGAAGCAGCGATGCCCTGAGTCCGCTCCTTTTGTGGCAGCGGTTACCTGCTTTGGAGCACAGCTCGGTGAGCGGGTCGGCGGGGTCCATGGAGAAGGGAAACACCAAACACTGGATTTCACTTGCTCTTCCAGCAGTCTTTACTGACCTAGTTTTTGACTTGCTTTTCTGGTCCACATCCCATTTTCAACTACTTGTTTCTGCAGTAATAGTAAAATGCACCCTGGTTAATTTTTTACTCTGAAAATACAACTTTTATGCCTACATCTTGCTACTGTCTAATGAAACACCACGATTATGTTTTTCTCATGCCCTGATACTCTTCAGCAGTATATGAGGGATTCTAACTATAAACTGTTACAGGCAACACTGCTGTTTGGTTGCTTTTTCATTAACCTTCTAGGATACAGAAGCTAGTGTTGCAATAATTAATGTTTTAAGTACAATGGAATCAGCGGTTTGAGTCAAGAAGCCTGGGGTTACAGCTAGAGAATGCAAGTGTTAGATGCCACATTCCTGCTCTGTTTTCTGAACTCTTCATTTGATCTCCCTTCCCTGTAACTAGTTTTATACCTACACTAATTATGTGCCATCACTGCTGTAAAACAAATCACTGTCATAGCATGGAGTGTTGAACTGGTATTTAAAACATCTAATCCAGGCCTAGTATTGGAATGTACATTGTTGTAACTGTGCACCTGATTCCTAAACAAATCTGGTTATTTTTCTGAATATTTCAGGGGGACTGGACAGGTTCAGACACTAACCTTGTTCTGTGTTTCACTGCAGCCTGGTTACTTCAGATGTAGCTTTTTACACTGGAAACCTTCAAGCTCTGAAAGGCCTTAACAACTTAGACCTGAACATGGCGGAAATTTGGGAGCAGAAGAGGTGATAATCCACCGGGAGCAGTCACTTGGCTCTGTCAACAGACCGACTTTCTTCTAAGCAGCGCGATGACTGTGAGGTGAATACTTAAGTCTGAGAAAGGACACTATTGCTAGTGGGGGAAGCTAGGCTCAGAGTGAGCTGCAGGGAGTGATCTTTTCAGTGTCCTTCAGCAAGAAACAAGTGAGCAGCTGCCTGTGCAATGTTTTTTTCATTCTCTCTGGAAACAGACTCAGGTTTCTTTGGACCAAATCCAAAAGAACACATAGCTGTAACACAGCTGTAGTTGTCTAGAATGCTCTGTATATCTTTATATTAAAAAGATGCTTTGCATTTCTTCTAGTGCAATGAAATCCACATGGTGTCCCACCTTATTTAACGATGGTACAGTATAAAAATCTTGCAGTTGGAACTCTGTAGAAAATGTTTTTCTCTATGAACAATGCTGTTCTAAAATTTATTTTTTTACAGAACTTTATATGAATAAATGTCTTTTGATTGCTTGCATATAGGATTCAGATTTGTTAGGGAGCAGTCCCGTTTCATCTGGGCTCTAAACTGCCACCTGAAGATAGGATTTTCTAAGAAACTGTTCGCTGAAGCCATCACCTACTGCATAGAGTTGGGAAAGGAGCAGCTTCTGGCGGAACAAGAAGGTAGTGAAAAGGCTGGTGTGGGGTTAGCTTCCTGCAGCCACAAGCCTTGAGCAGGGCAAGGACAGGGGCTGCTTCTGGACCTTTCACCCTTTTAAAGAAAGACACAAAGTGTATAAAGACAGAGGAGGCCACAGAAAACAGTGCAGGAAGAATCTTAATCATTTTTAGGCTGCTTTTAAAAGGTTGCCCTATTAAGGAAGGTGTAACTGCAATTAATTTATTTCAGAGGTTTTAATACTACCTTTTAAGACTGGATGCTGCCAGTACTCCTAAATAAAAGTGCCTGTGTATCTCACCTCACACCTCACCCTGTGCCGCTGATGTACGGTGGAATGGTCTCCAGTGTGTGTGCCTATGTTTTTTTTCAGACAGGCATGCTGATCTGTTAGCATAACAGATGTCACTCAGTGTCAGTCAAAATAAAGCTATCCAATCACAGTTGTTTTTAAAGACCAACTTCTTTAATGATACATACCAGTGTTATACTAAGCTTATAAAATAAAGTCTGCATGTAAATACAAGAGAAACATTAAGAAATCAATAGTGATCGGGACAGGGAGTTCAATTCCTGTACAAATTTAGAAATGACTCACTCAGAGAAGATAAATTAACATACATGGCTGTGACAATATGAACATGGGTGTAGTCAACGTGATCCATTGCTTGAAGAAAGAGGGCAGATCAAGGATTAAGATATTAACAGGAGATCCAGTCTTAAATGGGATGTGAAAAAGCAAACACCACACGTGGATACTGAGGCATTTTTCTCAAGTATTCGATTCTTTGGGTGAGTTTGGAACACCAACGCTTCCTGCTCTCACAATACAGAAATGGAGGTACTGACAGCCTTACCCCAGTCTCTCGCCATACAAACGGGGACGGGACATCCCGCTTGTCATCTGGGGGCTTAGAGGCCTAGAGGTTGGGATGTTCATGAGCACATGAAATACAGGGTTTTAAGAGCCTGTTTAGCAGTAGTGAAACTTTTGGTTTTTAATTGTGCCTGCACTTCATAAAAAGTCACATGAGTAGCTAACTATGTTGTCCCACATGTATTGCTTCACAGCTTTATTTCTGCAGTTACAAGCAATTCAAAACTACTAAATGTTAGAGGCAAGCCTCTTAACTTCTTATCAAAGAAGATCTGTCCATCTTACCACAAGACAAACAGTATTGCACTTCAAGGTTATATTAACTGAGTTACAGAATCTCTTTAAGGACTGAAGCATTACTTACGCACATCCATTGCGCTATGTGTCTGCTTAAAAAGATAAGCAAGAGAAATTAATTTTAAATTAATACTGCAGGGTACTGTGAAGATGACAAAGCATAGGCCCTCTGTGTACTTATATTTCTAATGCTTAAAAGGTTCTCCCATCACAAGGCTGGTTTAGCACAGCAGCCTACAGAACCGACCGTGCCCTCCCCCTGGCTCAGTGGTCCAGGATCCGAAGGTTGCCAGAGACGATTTTGTTCTCTAGTAGAGCTCCAGCTGGGATGTCAATTCTGTCACCATGGTTTGCAATGATGATAACTGTTCCCTGGATTTACAGAAGAGAAAACAAGCAATTATTATAAACTTGATCAACTTTTATATTACCTGTTGATTGGGAATGAGCAAGAGTAGTGGTGTCTGGGGGACTGCTTAGGTGTCAGCTGTAACACAGCCAGATCCTGGATGTATTTAGGTGTACTGTTTCTGCACACACTTCTCCCTCCCCAAAGTTTAAACAAGCAGTGTTGGAAACACTGTAATTACCAGCACACTAGCTATGATCATCTTATAAGTAGGGCTGATGCCTTCTCTGAAGATACACACTTGCTGTAAGCCCCTTTATCATGTCTGCTTGCTTTTAGGTGGAAAAATGTTCCCTACATCAGTGTGTTGTGGCACAGTTCACAACTGCCGCTGTAAGGCACAGCGATACGTGCACCAGCACGCAGTCTGATAACAGCCCAAACTGGTTCCAGTGCTGGTTGTGTCAGCAGCTGAACTGCCCTGGACTGTCGTAGGACTGTGACAATGGTCTGCAGAGAACTTCAGAGAGAAATTAATTGCTCAGCTCCAACATTTACTAATAGATCAAGAATCCCAAAGTGATGAGAAGGAGCCTGTGGCTGTCAAGCCAGCTCCGGAAGTGAGGTGGCATGTGCCTTGTAGAGCTAAAGGACAAAGATGTTGCTCCAAACACTGAGTCACAAGGTCTGTGGTGGTTTCAAGGTTCATAGATCAACCTCAGTTCCCCCTATGACTATACAGAGAAGCTGCTGTAGCAGTAACACTCCTTCCTAAGGGTCACTGTTCAGGCTGGGCCTTTAATTCCTCTAGGAATTAAATTACTTAATTCCTAGGAGAGCTTCCACAGACTGGGTATAAAGGCAGTGACTTAGGCAGGATCAGGTACTGAGGAGCAGAGATCAGTCACACTTATGCAGGAGCATAACACACTCACCTTTAATGAAACATTCTTCCCAAATGTAACATCACCTGAAACCGTGAGATGATCCAGCTCCAGCATGTCTGGAATACTTTCAAACCTCCGCAGGTAATCTTGAACCTTTTGGAGAGAGGGAAGAATTAGAGACAGTTTAAATCCATCTGTGGATCAAGGCAGGTGTGGGAGCTTCCCAAGAACTCCCTTTGGGGATCATTCCAGAATCTACATCAGATAAATTTATGAATTGCTGCTTTGAAAGCAATGTGGTATTGTCATTTCTGTCAGCGAAAACTATGAGAAATGGCAAGGGCAGCATCCCACTAAAGTTTGACAAGCTCTGGAGAGCTCACACCACCCGATTCACCTTCCATTCCCTCCACTGACAGGGTAAAGGAGCACCCAACAGCAGGACAGATGGCATCATGCACACGTTAAAATAGTCTGTATTACCCTAGCAAAGAGCAAAAGAGAATGCCCACGTGGGCAGAGGCAGATAAAGTGAACCTCACTTACTTATTGCTATGGACTGTAATTTTTATTCAAAGAGATAAAACCGAAGTATAATTATAGGAGTTTACCTTTGTGAAAGAACTCCCCAGTTTGACAAGAGGCACTGTTGGAAATTCACGCTTCTCACTCATCGTTAGAGATCCAGCATTAAGGCTATACAAATTAGACATCACAAGCAAGAGATCTGATGTGGTCTTAACAGGCAGAAACCGACTACGAGGTACGTTTATTCCCAGAGAGTTCTCAAAACTCTTAATAGCAGCACCAACTGCAGTCTCCAACTGGATAATATTCAAGCCTCCATCCAGAGTCTGGAAGAGAAAACTCACGTAAACACAAGCGGTGGGTAATGGCACTCAGAACTAGAGACGAGCATTGTCAGAGCTCTGCAGTTACCAACAGACTGGCTCCATTCTGAAGGCAGCAGTCCCTGGTTAGTTACCTAGGAACAAACAGTTCTTTTGAGTCCATTTCCTTTAAAATCTTCCTAGCTGATTACCTTTGGGTTAACAATGATCTCCATGTCAATGGCATTTTTCTCTTGCAGCCTTTTAATTGCAGACAGAGCGATCCACAAATTGTTGGTATTGAATATTTTGAATTTTGACACAGACTTGAATTCATCCACATGTGCTTTTGGGACCTGAGCTATCTCCACCAGCCTCAGCTTGTTTTCGTACTGTGTAAGCGTGCCACCCTGCAAGGGTCAAAGAAGTAGTTTTAAGTCCTGTTCATGAGATGCCAGAGAAACACCCCCCTCACCCCATACAGATGCACTCTTTTGTTGGCATTTGAAGTTGATCCTCAGTGAAAACACACTGTGTTCAGCTACCACGTTACTAATTATAGAGCATGTTTAAAGTGCAGTCAGAACTGTCAAACGATCCTGTTTCAGCACTCCAAGACAGTTAATTCTTTTAATGAAAGTTGTTCAGAATCTTTTGCAAGTGCTGCTGTTGTCAAACATCACCTTCAGCAGTACTGCCATAGGTTGCAGAGCAAAATCGAAATTGAATTTCATAGTTCTGTATTTGCGGCACCCACGGGAGAAACAAGTGGTGCTTCAAGTAACCTGAACTGTGTTCCTGCAGTGCATTTCTGTGTTTTTATATAGGACTATGTCAGAGCTTTCTTACTATCTAATGAATACAGAGAAAATCACGTTTAAAAGAACAGAGGTAAAGTGCAGTTACAGGAAAAATTACTGCATGCTAGAAGTATTTGATATATGCCATAAAGACCTGACAAGCTGTTAAACCTGGACTTTGTACAAGTCAAGCTGCTGGGACAGGAACTAACTAGGAGCTGGCAGCCACAGCACACAGAGCTGTGCCCTGCACACCTTGTCAGCTGGGTCAGCAGTTCTCAGTCAGTAGAGATAAAACTGGTGTGGTCCTGCCCCTCAGAGCCCTACTTTTACCATCCTCCAACTTCTCTCCCGTGTAAGTGACAGTTTGGAGAAGGTATGGAGGTTGTGACCTGCACGCTGCAGAAACTACTTGTATTTTTTTTTCAGTGATTGGTCAAGTCCAGGCTGTCCTTGTCTGCTGTTGCCCAGAACCTAGATCCCATTTGTTCCATGAATTAGAACTTCATAAACTTGCTGATTTTGTGCATCTCAAATTAGATCCCAGCTGATGTGTTAAATGGTGCCTAAAATAGCTATAAGAAGATTTAATGTATGTCTGAATTCATGCATATAGAAGAGACAAGAGGCTGAGATTTTCATCAGCGTGCCAGGCAGCGTTCAGACAGACTCGCACAACCATCCCCCTTTACCTTCACATCCGCCCTGGTTTTGTTTGTGACTTCCATGACAAATTCACAGCGTTTCCCATTGGGTGGGTTCATAAGATGGTTAAGAATGTAAAGGTCCACAGTGGCACCCAAGTTATCTATATTGGATACAAAAATATATTCCTTCCCCTCTCCGATCAGGTTATCCAGCAGACCGGAGTTATAGAAGCTGGCGTAGATATCTCCGTGGCCCGGGGGGTACCAGCACTCCGTATTCTCTCCTGAGCAAGACACACCCTTGGCTATTGGCAGCAGAGTTTCCTTGTTAATTCTAGGATACCTGGGAAGACAGTGGGGTTTAGTTAGGTTCTTGCCAATGTCTGACTAGCAGAAATTAAAATGCAGTCATAAAGGTGCGACTACATGGGCTGTTTCATACAGGTCTTGAAGATGAGCTTTCTAGGTTAGTGGAAGTACTCTGCACTGAAAGAGCCCTGCAAATACCAGGCTCTCACTGAGAAGCTGTAGAATGCAATCCTCACTCAAGGACCGAAAGTTCTCCAACTGTGCTGTAAACCAGCTTTCCTCTGACACGCAGGTTCAGACATCTTCAGCTGCTGTAGGTCTGTGCTTGATAAGGAAGCCATGTTCTGTCTCCCTGCAGAGCCCAGGTATCCCAAAAGCAAATTCAGGAATCAAGCAGCCAGTACACCATTATTCACACATTTCTTAGAGACTGCATCCCACACATACCCCTCTCCCTAATTTCAACATGTTGCCTTTGACTCTGCTTAACACCCTGACATTTCAGTCTTTCAAAGAGGCCCAAAATAGAGACTGACAGGGTACAGAAGACACTGTTGCTACCACAGCATCTCAAACTAAAACCCCACAGCATTTGGAATATGGAGAAATGCAAGCTAGTTTTTCTTTTCACCCCAAGTGGAGAAGTTTTTTGATACCTGCTTTGATTAAAAGTATATATCTTCACACGACTGTGACTGTACTTCTGCAAGATTTTCTTAGTGTCATCATCAGTGTTGAAGGAATTCATGAGAACAAGAGGAACATCGGTGTTGTAGGATTTGTTTAAATGCTAAGATGGGAAAGAAATGGTAAATTCAGCATGTACTATTAGCTTTGACACCTAAGATTTTGGGAGAAATAAACTATTCAGTAAAACAGACTGGAAATAATAAATGCATGAGATAAAAGATAGAGGTGCTTATGCCAACAGAATGGATAATAAATCAGGTAAAGGAAAACAAATCCTTGTAAGATTAGGCCCAAATTAATTAACATATAATTAATCTTTTAAATCCGCATTGAGATCCAAAATTTGAAAAGCACAACAGCACAAAACAGTTATCTTAAATTTTTGGGTACTGTTGATTACAAAAGGCACGT